CACCAACCACTGCACCTCCAGCCACGACTCCGTGAAGCTGATCAAGTTCGCGGACGACACCACCCTCATTGGACTCATCTCCAACAACGATGAGTCCGCCTACAGGAGGGAGGTGGACCGGCTGGTGTCCTGGTGCAGTGGTAACAACCTGGAGCTGAACGCCCAGAAGACAGTGGAGATGATTGTGGACTTCAGGAAGAGCACTGTCCCCCCGCCCCCACCCTCCGTGATGGACTCCCCCATCACCTCTGTGGAGTCCTTCCGTTTCCTGGGCACCACCATCACCCAGGACCTCAAGTGGGAGCCGACCATCAGCTCCCTCATCAAGAAGGCCCAGCAGAGGATGTACTTCCTGCGGCAGCTCAGGAAAGCCAAGCTGCAGTTCTACACGGCCATCATCGAGTCCATCCTCACCTCCTCCATCCCCTCCTCCATCCCCTCCTCCATCACCTCCTCCGTCACCGTGTGGTTCGCTGGAGCCACAGTCAGGGACAAACAGAGACTACAGCGCATTGTGCGCTCTGCAGAGGAAGTGATCGGCCGCAGCCTTCCATCGCTGCAGGACCTGTACGTCGCCCGAGCTCGAGGCCGGGCTGGTCGTATCACAGCCGACCCCTCTCACCTGCACATGGACTATTCCAACCACTCCCCTCTCACCTGCACATGGACTATTCCAACCACTCCCCTCTCACCTGCACATGGACTATTCCAACCACTCCCCTCTCACCTGCACATGGACTATTCCAACCACTCCCCTCTCACCTGCACATGGACTATTCCAACCACTCCCCTCTCACCTGCACATGGACTATTCCAACCACTCCCCTCTCACCTGCACATGGACTATTCCAACCACTCCCCTCAGGCAGGAGGCTGCGGTCCATCAGGACTAGAACCTCCCGCCACAAGAACAGTTTCTTCCCCTCTGCTGTTGGACTCTTGAACACTTCTTAACCTGTCCCCCCGCCCTTTATAAAGTCACTTTACTGCCCATCATACGTCACTTTACTTCACTGTACTGCTGTCACCTTACATTGTGTGCACCATGTGCACTTGTATATTGTAAATAGTAACTGTAACTCTATTTTACATTTACATGTATTCTTTAGAAGTGTTTTTTATTCTTATTTTTATTATCTCTTTCTGACTGTTGCACTGAGCCAAAGCAATTTCCAAGTCTGTGACCTCCTGTTACTTACGTGGCAATAAAAATGATTCTGATTCTGATTCTGAAAACTTGGTCCAGTCTAAAAATAATGCATATTCAGATTATTGTATTACTGACATACAGGCAGGTTCAGATCTACATATAACCTAACTGTTATATGAATGAGTGGTTCATAACAATTGGGCTGGAAGAATCTGCAAATGTATTATCATTATTTAATTTACAATAGTGCAATCTCTGCAAGCCTATACAGTTTATTAATAAAGTTATGGTACTTATGGTTATTTTATTGTACAAAGAATAAGCTATATATATATATATATATAGACAGAGAGCCAACACAACTATCTATTTATTCAGTTGAGAGGGGTATACAAACATTTATTGACAAATAAACTGGCTTTGTTTGTAGCATCTTCCTACCTCCATTATGGCTTGGGCTACCTCCAGCTCTAGACGTGCGTGTGGGATTCCCAAACTGATCCCATTTGCAGCGCAGTATTTCTTGATATTTCTTGTCGAAAATCCTTTTCCACTTCCATGTACTCCCAGGTTCGCCAAAATCTCTGTCGATGACAGGCCATTTCTTGCCATGTCTGCTATCCTATCATAGTACGGGTCCAATGCCATCATACTGCTCCGTTGAGCTCAAGATGTAAACACATGGATCTATTAGTGTAAACAACACAATTTTGGCGCTCTTTGCGCTTGAATATGACAACTTCCGGTTTCATAAAACGAATATTGGGTCGTCTTTCGTTTTTGTCTTAATTTGTTTTTGTTTATTCAGTATACAATGCAAACATGAAAATCAGCTTTATTTTGAAAAATTAAATTTCATTCACTTGGATATAAAAAGAAAAATGGCTGTTTTTTCATTTTTGGTTTTTTGATTTGCAAACGAAAATAGAAAAACGACTTGTTTTTCTATTTATTATTTTCATTTCAGTGAAGAAAATCCAAATACCCACAAGTACACTGACCGTACAAACTGCAACACCTGGAGGAAATCCTGCAGAAGCCACTTTCTCAAAATGAAAAGTTAACTCCTCAAAAGCAAATTTTCAATGAAACTGTCTCAGAATAATACATCCTGAAACCAGCGTTTGGGAACAAGTCACATGGTTTAGTCTCAATGTAGCACTTTACTCTGTGTTTTCATTGTAGCACTTTACTCTCTGTGTTTTCATTGTAGCACTTTACTCTGTGTTTTCATTGTAGCACTTTACTCTCTGTGTGTTTTCATTGTAGCACTTTACTCTCTGTGTTTTCATTGTGGCACTTTACTCTCTGTGTTTTCATTGTGGCACTTTACTCTGTGTTTTAATTGTGGCACTTTACTCTGTTTTCATTGTGGCACTTTACTCTGTGTTTTCATTGTGGCACTTTACTCTGTTTTCATTGTGGCACTTTACTCTGTTTTCATTGTGGCACTTTACTCTGTTTTCATTGTGGCACTTTACTCTGTGTTTTCATTGTGGCACTTTACTCTGTTTTCATTGTGGCACTTTACTCTGTGTTTTCATTGTGGCACTTTACTCTGTGTTTTCATTGTGGCACTTTACTCTGTGTTTTCATTGTAGCACTTTACTCTCTGTGTTTTCATTGTAGCACTTTACTCTGTGTTTTCATTGTAGCACTTTACTCTCTGTGTTTTCATTGGGGCACTTTACTCTCTGTGTTTTCATTGTGGCACTTTACTCTGTTTTCATTGTGGCACTTTACTCTGTGTTTTCATTGTGGCACTTTACTCTCTGTGTTTTCATCGTAGCACTTTACTCTCTGTGTTTTCATTGTAGCACTTTACTCTCTGTGTTTTCATTGTGGCACTTTACTCTGTTTTCATTGTGGCACTTTACTCTGTGTTTTCATTGGGGCACTTTACTCTCTGTGTTTTCATTGTGGCACTTTACTCTGTTTTCATTGTGGCACTTTACTCTGTGTTTTCATTGTGGCACTTTACTCTCTGTGTTTTCATCGTAGCACTTTACTCTCTGTGTTTTCATTGTAGCACTTTACTGGAGCTGTGAGCTTCCTGTTCTGGAGGTTCTTTATAAATCCAGACTTTTAAACAAAGCTCTTAGGATTGTTAATGACTCTTCTGGCCACCCTGGGAAAGCCATGTTCCAGCTTCTTCCCTCTGGCAGAAGATATCGGTCGCTGAGATGCAAGACATCTCGCTATGCTAACAGCTTCTTCCCACAGGCTGTTAGGTGCCTAAACAGAGCACTTTAATTCCTGCTTTTACCCCTTGTATTGTTTTGTTGATCGGTGCCACAGTGTCAGCTGTTTTTTTATTCTTTTATATTCAATGTATGTGTATTTTATATTACATTGTATCGTGCTCTTTATTCTGTCGGTGCACACAGAGTACCTTTATTTGCAAATGTATTCCAATGTAGTTTTTATACTGCACATGGCTAATAAATCTCTGTGTTTTCATTGTAGCACTTTACTCTGTTTTTTCATTGTAGCACTTTACTGTCTGTGTTTTCATTGTAGCACTTTACTATGTGTTTTCATTGTGGCACTTTACTCTCTGTGTTTTCATTGTAGTACTTTACTCTCTGTGTTTTCATTGTAGCACTTTACTCTGTTTTCATTGTGGCACTTTACTCTCTGTGTTTTCATTGTAGTACTTTACTCTCTGTGTTTTCATTGTAGCACTTTACTCTGTTTTCATTGTGGCACTTTGCTCTCTGTGTTTTCATTGTAGTACTTTACTCTCTGTGTTTTCATTGTGGCACCTTACTCTCTGTGTTTTCATTGTAGCACTTTACTCTGTTTTCATTGTGGCACTTTACTCTCTGTGTTTTCATTATAGTACTTTACTCTCTGTGTTTTCATTGTAGCACTTTACTCTCTGTGTTTTCATTGTAGCACTTTACTCTCTGTGTTTTCATTGTGGCACTTTACTCTGTGTTTTCATTGTAGCACTTTACTCTCTGTGTTTTCATTGTGGCACTTTACTCTGTGTTTTCATTGTAGCACTTTACTCTGTGTTTTCATTGTAGCACTTTACTATGTGTTTTCATTGTAGCACTTTACTCTGTTTTCATTGTAGAACTTTACTCTGTTTTCATTGTGGCACTTTACTCTCTGTGTTTTCATTGTAGCACTTTACTCTCTGTGTTTTCATTGTAGCACTTTACTCTGTGTTTTCAGTGTAGCACTTTACTGTCTGTGTTTTCATTGTAGCACTTTACTCTCTGTGTTTCTCCAGCAGCAGGAGACTGATCCAGGTTTGTTGTACAGTCTGACAGCTGAAGGAACAAAGCGTCTCTATCTTTATCTGTATATGACAAACTGATTTTTATCTTTCAAAAAGCTCGAGATTTGGGGAAAAACGTGCAGAAAGCTTTAATTATTCCATGTTTTATCCCAAACAAACAGAAGTCACCGGTGAAATCTCATTCTGCACTAATTAGCTTTGACTCCATTCACACAAACACACAAAGGACACATACACACACACAAATCACACACACACACAAAGGACACATACACACACACAAATCACACACACAAATGACACACACACGCACACAAATGACACGTACACACAAATCACACACAAATGACATACACACAAATGACACACACACACACAAATCACAAACACAAATCACACACACACAAATCACACACAAAAACACAAATCACACACACACAAACACAAATCACACACACACAAACACAAATCACACACACACAAACCACACACACGCACACAAATCACACACTCACACACACACACACAAATCACACACAAACACAAATCACACACTCACACACACACACACAAATCAAACACAAATCACACACACACAAATCACACACACACACACATTTTCCGGTGGCCGTGGCGTCTGCGGTTCTGGCACGTCCCCGTCTCGTCTCCGTCTCGTCTCCGTCTCGTCTCCGTCTCGTCTCCGTCTCGTCCCCGTCTCGTCCCCGTCTCGTCTCCGTCTCGTCTCCGTCTCGTCCCCGTCTCGTCTCCGTCTCGTCTCCGTCTCGTCCCCGTCTCGTCTCCGTCTCGTCCCCGTCTCGTCCCCGTCTCGTCTCCGTCTCGTCTCCGTCTCGTCTCCGTCTCGTCTCCGTCTCGTCCCCGTCTCGTCTCCGTCTCGTCTCCGTCTCGTCTCCGTCTCGTCCCCGTCTCGTCCCCGTCTCGTCCCCGTCTCGTCCCCGTCTCGTCTCCGTCTCGTCTCCGTCTCCGTCTCGTCTCCGTCTCGTCTCCGTCTCGTCTCCGTCTCGTCTCCGTCTCGTCTCCGTCTCGTCTCCGTCTCGTCTCCGTCTCGTCTCCGTCTCGTCTCCGTCTCGTCTCCGTCTCGTCTCCGTCTCGTCCCGTCTCGTCCCCGTCTCGTCCCCGTCTCGTCTCCGTCTCGTCTCCGTCTCGTCCCGTCTCGTCCCCGTCTCGTCCCCGTCTCGTCCCCGTCTCGTCCCCGTCTCGTCTCCGTCTCGTCTCCGTCTCCGTCTCGTCTCGTCTCCGTCTCGTCTCCGTCTCGTCTCCGTCTCGTCTCCGTCTCGTCTCCGTCTCGTCCCCGTCTCGTCTCCGTCTCGTCTCCGTCTCGTCTCCGTCTCGTCTCCGTCTCGTCTCCGTCTCGTCTCCGTCTCGTCTCCGTCTCGTCCCCGTCTCGTCCCCGTCTCGTCCCCGTCTCGTCCCCGTCTCGTCCCCGTCTCGTCTCCGTCTCGTCTCCGTCTCGTCTCCGTCTCGTCCTCGTCTCGTCTCGTCCCCGTCTCGTCCCCGTCTCGTCTCCGTCTCGTCTCCGTCTCGTCCCCGTCTCGTCTCCGTCTCGTCTCCGTCTCGTCTCCGTCTCGTCTCCGTCTCGTCTCCGTCTCGTCCTCGTCTCGTCTCGTCCCCGTCTCGTCCCCGTCTCGTCTCGTCTCGTCTCCGTCTCGTCCCCGTCTCGTCTCCGTCTCGTCTCCGTCTCGTCCCCGTCTCGTCTCCGTCTCGTCCCCGTCTCGTCCCCGTCTCGTCCCCGTCTCGTCTCCGTCTCGTCTCCGTCTCGTCTCCGTCTCCGTCCTCGTCTCGTCTCCGTCTCGTCTCCGTCTCCGTCTCGTCCCCGTCTCGTCCCCGTCTCGTCTCCGTCTCGTCTCCGTCTCGTCTCCGTCTCGTCTCCGTCTCGTCCCCGTCTCGTCCCCGTCTCGTCTCCGTCTCCGTCTCGTCCCCGTCTCGTCCCCGTCTCGTCTCCGTCTCGTCCCCGTCTCGTCTCCGTCTCGTCTCCGTCTCGTCTCCGTCTCGTCTCCGTCTCGTCCCCGTCTCGTCTCCGTCTCGTCCCCGTCTCGTCCCCGTCTCGTCCCCGTCTCGTCCCCGTCTCGTCCCCGTCTCGTCTCCGTCTCGTCTCCGTCTCGTCTCCGTCTCGTCTCGTCTCCGTCTCGTCTCCGTCTCGTCCTCGTCTCGTCTCGTCCCCGTCTCGTCCCCGTCTCGTCTCCGTCTCGTCTCCGTCTCGTCCCCGTCTCGTCTCCGTCTCGTCCCCGTCTCGTCCCCGTCTCGTCTCCGTCTCGTCTCCGTCTCGTCTCCGTCTCGTCTCCGTCTCGTCCTCGTCTCGTCTCCGTCTCCGTCTCGTCCTTGTCTCGTCTCGTCTCCGTCTCGTCTCCGTCTCGTCCCCGTCTCGTCCCCGTCTCGTCTCCGTCTCGTCTCCGTCTCGTCTCCGTCTCGTCTCCGTCTCGTCTCCGTCTCGTCTCCGTCTCGTCCCCGTCTCGTCTCCGTCTCGTCCCCGTCTCGTCCCCGTCTCGTCTCCGTCTCGTCTCCGTCTCGTCCCCGTCTCGTCCCCGTCTCGTCTCCGTCTCGTCTCCGTCTCGTCTCCGTCTCGTCTCCGTCTCGTCCTCGTCCTCGTCTCGTCTCGTCCCCGTCTCGTCCCCGTCTCGTCTCCGTCTCGTCTCCGTCTCGTCCCCGTCTCGTCTCCGTCTCGTCTCCGTCTCGTCCCCGTCTCGTCTCCGTCTCGTCCCCGTCTCGTCCCCGTCTCGTCCCCGTCTCGTCTCCGTCTCGTCCTCGTCTCGTCTCCGTCTCGTCTCCGTCTCGTCTCCGTCTCCGTCTCGTCTCGTCTCGTCTCCGTCTCGTCTCCGTCTCGTCTCCGTCTCCGTCTCGTCTCGTCCCCGTCTCGTCCCTGTCTCGTCTCCGTCTCGTCTCCGTCTCGTCCCCGTCTCGTCTCCGTCTCGTCCCCGTCTCGTCCCCGTCTCGTCCCTGTCTCGTCTCCGTCTCGTCTCCGTCTCGTCCCCGTCTCGTCTCCGTCTCGTCCCCGTCTCGTCCCCGTCTCGTCTCCGTCTCGTCTCCGTCTCGTCCTTGTCTCGTCTCCGTCTCGTCTCCGTCTCGTCCTCGTCTCCGTCTTGTCTCCGTCTCGTCTCCGTCTCGTCCCCGTCTCGTCCCCGTCTCGTCTCCGTCTCGTCTCCGTCTCGTCTCCGTCTCGTCCCCGTCTTGTCTCCGTCTCGTCCCCGTCTCGTCCCCGTCTCGTCCCCGTCTCGTCTCCGTCTCGTCTCCGTCTCGTCTCCGTCTCGTCCCCGTCTCGTCCCCGTCTCGTCTCCGTCTCGTCTCCGTCTCGTCTCCGTCTCGTCTCGTCCTCGTCTCCGTCTCGTCCCGTCTCGTCCCCGTCTCGTCCCCGTCTCGTCTCCGTCTCGTCTCCGTCTCGTCTCCGTCTCGTCCCCGTCTCGTCTCCGTCTCGTCCCCGTCCCCGTCTCGTCTCCGTCTCGTCTCCGTCTCGTCTCCGTCTCGTCTCCGTCTCGTCCCCGTCTCGTCTCGTCCCCGTCTCGTCTCCGTCTCGTCTCCGTCTCGTCTCCGTCTCGTCTCGTCCTCGTCTCGTCCCCGTCTCGTCCCCGTCTTGTCTCCGTCTCGTCTCCGTCTCGTCCCCGTCTCGTCCTCGTCTCGTCTCCGTCTCGTCTCCGTCTCGTCCTCGTCTCCGTCTCGTCTCCGTCTCGTCCCGTCTCGTCTCCGTCTCGTCCTCGTCTCGTCTCCGTCTCGTCTCCGTCTCGTCTCCGTCTCGTCTCGTCTCGTCTCCGTCTCGTCTCCGTCTCGTCTCCGTCTCGTCCCCGTCTCGTCCCCGTCTCGTCTCCGTCTCGTCCTCGTCCCCGTCTCGTCTCCGTCTCGTCTCCGTCTCGTCTCCGTCTCGTCTCCGTCTCGTCCCCGTCTCGTCCTCGTCTCGTCTCCGTCTCGTCCCCGTCTCGTCCTCGTCTCGTCTCCGTCTCGTCTCCGTCTCGTCCTCGTCTCGTCTCCGTCTCGTCTCCGTCTCGTCCTCGTCTCGTCTCCGTCTCGTCCCCGTCTCGTCCTCGTCTCGTCTCCGTCTCGTCTCCGTCTCGTCTCCGTCTCGTCCTCGTCTCGTCTCCGTCTCGTCTCCGTCTCGTCTCCGTCTCGTCCTCGTCTCGTCTCCGTCTCGTCTCCGTCTCGTCCTCGTCTCGTCTCCGTCTCGTCTCCGTCTCGTCCTCGTCTCGTCTCCGTCTCGTCTCCGTCTCGTCCTCGTCTCGTCTCCGTCTCGTCTCCGTCTCGTCCTCGTCTCGTCTCCGTCTCGTCTCCGTCTCGTCCTCGTCTCGTCTCCGTCTCGTCTCCGTCTCGTCCTCGTCTCGTCTCCGTCTCGTCTCCGTCTCGTCCTCGTCTCGTCTCCGTCTCCGTCTCGTCTCCGTCTCGTCCCCGTCTCGTCCTCGTCTCCGTCTCGTCCTCGTCTCGTCTCCGTCTCGTCCTCGTCTCGTCTCCGTCTCGTCTCCGTCTCGTCTCGTCTCCGTCTCGTCTCCGTCTCGTCTCCGTCTCGTCTCCGTCTCGTCTCCGTCTCGTCTCGTCTCGTCCTCGTCTCGTCTCGTCTCGTCTCCGTCTCGTCTCCGTCTCGTCTCGGTCTCGTCCTCGTCTCGTCTCCGTCTCGTCTCCGTCTCGTCTCCGTCTCGTCCTCGTCTCGTCTCCGTCTCGTCTCCGTCTCGTCTCCGTCTCGTCCTCGTCTCGTCTCCGTCTCGTCTCCGTCTCGTCCTCGTCTCGTCTCCGTCTCGTCTCCGTCTCGTCTCCGTCTCGTCCTCGTCTCGTCTCCGTCTCGTCTCCGTCTCGTCCTCGTCTCGTCTCCGTCTCGTCTCGTCTCCGTCTCGTCTCCGTCTCGTCCTCGTCTCGTCTCCGTCTCGTCTCCGTCTCGTCTCCGTCTCGTCCCCGTCTCGTCCCCGTCTCGTCTCCGTCTCGTCTCCGTCTCGTCTCCGTCTCGTCTCCGTCTCGTCCTCGTCTCGTCTCCGTCTCCGTCTCGTCCTTGTCTCGTCTCGTCTCCGTCTCGTCTCCGTCTCGTCCCGTCTCGTCTCCGTCTCGTCCCCGTCTCGTCTCCGTCTCGTCCCCGTCTCGTCCCCGTCTCGTCTCCGTCTCGTCTCCGTCTCGTCCCCGTCTCGTCCCCGTCTCGTCTCCGTCTCGTCTCCGTCTCGTCTCCGTCTCGTCTCCGTCTCGTCCTCGTCTCCGTCTCGTCCTCGTCTCGTCTCGTCTCGTCCCCGTCTCGTCCCCGTCTCGTCTCCGTCTCGTCTCCGTCTCGTCCCCGTCTCGTCTCCGTCTCGTCTCCGTCTCGTCCCCGTCTCGTCTCCGTCTCGTCCCCGTCTCGTCCCCGTCTCGTCCCCGTCTCGTCTCCGTCTCGTCTCCGTCTCGTCTCCGTCTCGTCCTCGTCTCGTCTCCGTCTCGTCTCCGTCTCGTCTCCGTCTCGTCTCCGTCTCGTCCTCGTCTCGTCTCCGTCTCGTCTCCGTCTCGTCTCCGTCTCCGTCTCGTCTCGTCTCGTCCCCGTCTCGTCCCTGTCTCGTCTCCGTCTCGTCTCCGTCTCGTCCCCGTCTCCTCTCCGTCTCGTCCCCGTCTCGTCCCCGTCTCGTCTCCGTCTCGTCTCCGTCTCGTCTCCGTCTCGTCCTCGTCTCGTCTCCGTCTCGTCTCCGTCTCCGTCTCGTCTCCGTCTCGTCCTCGTCTCGTCTCCGTCTTGTCTCCGTCTCGTCTCCGTCTCGTCCCCGTCTCGTCCCCGTCTCGTCTCCGTCTCGTCTCCGTCTCGTCTCCGTCTCGTCTCCGTCTCGTCCCCGTCTCGTCTCCGTCTCGTCCCCGTCTCGTCCCCGTCTCGTCTCCGTCTCGTCTCCGTCTCGTCTCCGTCTCGTCTCCGTCTCGTCCCCGTCTCGTCCCCGTCTCGTCTCCGTCTCGTCTCCGTCTCGTCTCCGTCTCGTCTCCGTCTCGTCCTCGTCTCCATCTCGTCCCCGTCTCGTCCCCGTCTCGTCTCCGTCTCGTCTCCGTCTCGTCTCCGTCTCGTCTCCGTCTCGTCCCCGTCTCGTCTCCGTCTCGTCTCCGTCTCGTCTCCGTCTCGTCTCCGTCTCGTCCCGTCCGTCTCGTCTCGTCGTCCCGTCTCGTCTCCGTCTCGTCTCCGTCTCGTCTCGTCTCGTCTCGTCCTCGTCTCGTCTCCCGTCTCGTCCCCGTCTCGTCCCCGTCTCGTCTCCGTCTCGTCTCCCGTCTCGTCCCCGTCTCGTCCTCGTCTCGTCTCCGTCTCGTCTCCGTCTCGTCCTCGTCTCGTCTCCGTCTCGTCTCCGTCTCGTCGTCCGTCGTCTCGTCTCCGTCTCGTCTCCGTCTCGTCTCCGTCTCGTCTCGTCTCGTCTCCGTCTCGTCTCCGTCTCGTCCCGTCTCGTCCCGCGTCTCGTCTCCGTCTCGTCTCGTCCCCGTCCCGTCTCGTCTCCGTCTCGTCTCCGTCTCGTCTCCGTCTCGTCTCCGTCTCGTCTCCGTCTCGTCCCGTCTCGTCCCCGTCTCGTCTCGTCTCGTCCGTCTCGTCCCCGTCTCGTCCTCGTCTCGTCTCCGTCTCGTCTCCGTCTCGTCCTCGTCCTCGTCCCCGTCTCGTCTCCGTCTCGTCCTCGTCTCGTCTCCGTCTCGTCTCCGTCTCGTCTCGTCTCCGTCTCGTCTCCGTCTCGTCTCCGTCTCGTCCTCGTCTCGTCTCCGTCTCGTCTCCGTCTCGTCCTCGTCTCGTCTCCGTCTCGTCTCCGTCTCGTCCTCGTCTCGTCTCCGTCTCGTCCTCGTCTCGTCTCCGTCTCGTCTCCGTCTCGTCTCCGTCTCGTCCCCGTCTCGTCCTCGTCTCGTCTCCGTCTCGTCCTCGTCTCGTCTCCGTCTCGTCCTCGTCTCGTCTCCGTCTCGTCTCCGTCTCGTCTCCGTCTCGTCCTCGTCTCGTCTCCGTCTCGTCCTCGTCTCGTCTCCGTCTCGTCCTCGTCTTCGTCTCCGTCTCGTCCCCGTCTCGTCCTCGTCTCGCTCGTCTCCGTCTCGTCTCCGTCTCGTCCTCGTCTCGTCTCGTCTCGTCTCGTCTCGTCTCGTCTCCGTCTCGTCTCTCGTCTCGTCTCCGTCTCGTCTCGTCTCGTCTCCGTCTTTCTCCGTCTCGTCTCCGTCTCGTCTCCGTCTCGTCCCGTCTCGTCCTCGTCTCGTCTCCGTCTCGTCCCCGTCTCGTCTCGTCTCCGTCTCGTCTCCGTCTCGTCTCCGTCTCGTCTCCGTCTCGTCTCCGTCTCGTCTCTCGTCTCGTCTCCGTCTCGTCTCCGTCTCGTCTCCGTCTCGTCTCCGTCTCGTCTCGTCTCGTCTCCGTCTCGTCTCTCGTCTCGTCTCCGTCTCGTCCGTCTCGTCTCGTCTCCGTCTCGTCTCCGTCTCGTCTCCGTCTCGTCTCGTCTCGTCTCGTCTCGTCTCCGTCTCGTCTCCGTCTCGTCCTCGTCTCGTCTCCGTCTCGTCTCGTCTCCGTCTCGTCTCCGTCTCGTCCCCGTCTCGTCCTCGTCTCCGTCTCGTCTCGTCTCGTCTCGTCTCCGTCTCGTCCTCGTCTCGTCTCCGTCTCGTCTCCGTCTCGTCCCCGTCTCGTCCTCGTCTCGTCCTCGTCTCGTCTCCGTCTCGTCTCCGTCTCGTCCTCGTCTCGTCCTCGTCTCGTCTCCGTCTCGTCTCCGTCTCGTCCTCGTCTCGTCTCCGTCTCGTCCTCGTCTCGTCTCCGTCTCGTCCTCGTCTCGTCCTCGTCTCGTCTCCGTCTCGTCTCCGTCTCGTCTCCGTCTCGTCCTCGGTCTCGTCCTCGTCTCGTCTCCGTCTCGTCTCCGTCTCGTCTCCGTCTCGTCCTCGTCTCGTCTCCGTCTCGTCCTCGTCTCGTCTCCGTCTCGTCTCCGTCTCGTCCCGTCTCGTCCTCGTCTCCGTCTCGTCTCGTCTCGTCTCCGTCTCGTCTCGTCGTCTCGTCTCCGTCGTCGTCTCGTCTCGTCTCCGTCTCGTCCTCGTCTCGTCTCCGTCTCGTCCCCGTCTCGTCCTCGTCTCGTCTCCGTCTCGTCTCCGTCTCGTCCTCGTCTCGTCCTCGTCTCGTCTCCGTCTCGTCTCCGTCTCGTCCTCGTCTCGTCTCCGTCTCGTCCTCGTCTCGTCTCCGTCTCGTCTCCGTCTCGTCTCCGTCTCGTCTCCGTCTCGTCCCCGTCTCGTCCTCGTCTCGTCTCCGTCTCGTCCCCGTCTCGTCCTCGTCTCGTCTCCGTCTCGTCTCCGTCTCGTCCTCGTCTCGTCTCCGTCTCGTCTCCGTCTCGTCTCCGTCTCGTCTCCGTCTCGTCTCCGTCTCGTCTCCGTCTCGTCCTCGTCTCGTCTCCGTCTCGTCTCCGTCTCGTCTCCGTCTCGTCCTCGTCTCGTCTCCGTCTCGTCTCCGTCTCGTCTCCGTCTCGTCTCCGTCTCGTCCTCGTCTCGTCTCCGTCTCGTCCTCGTCTCGTCTCCGTCTCGTCTCCGTCTCGTCCCCGTCTCGTCCTCGTCTCCGTCTCGTCCTCGTCTCGTCTCCGTCTCGTCCTCGTCTCGTCTCCGTCTCGTCTCCGTCTCGTCCCCGTCTCGTCCTCGTCTCGTCCTCGTCTCGTCTCCGTCTCGTCTCCGTCTCGTCCTCGTCTCGTCCTCGTCTCGTCTCCGTCTCGTCTCCGTCTCGTCCTCGTCTCGTCTCCGTCTCGTCCTCGTCTCGTCTCCGTCTCGTCTCCGTCTCGTCCTCGTCTCGTCTCCGTCTCGTCTCTGTCTCGTCTCCGTCTCGTCCCCGTCTCGTCCTCGTCTCGTCTCCGTCTCGTCTCCGTCTCGTCTCCGTCTCGTCTCCGTCTCGTCTCCGTCTCGTCTCCGTCTCGTCCTCGTCTCGTCTCCGTCTCGTCTCCGTCTCGTCCTCGTCTCGTCTCCGTCTCGTCTCCGTCTCGTCTCCGTCTCGTCTCCGTCTCGTCTCCGTCTCGTCTCCGTCTCGTCTCGTCTCGTCTCCGTCTCGTCTCCGTCTCGTCGTCTCGTCTCGTCTCGTCTCCGTCTCGTCTCCGTCTCGTCTCCGTCTCGTCTCGTCTCGTCTCCTCGTCTCGTCTCCGTCTCGTCTCCGTCTCCGTCTCGTCTCCGTCTCGTCCTCGTCCTCGTCTCGTCTCCGTCTCGTCTCCGTCTCGTCCTCGTCTCGTCTCCGTCTCGTCTCCGTCTCGTCTCCGTCTCGTCCTCGTCTCGTCTCCGTCTCGTCTCCGTCTCGTCCTCGTCTCGTCTCCGTCTCGTCTCCGTCTCGTCTCCGTCTCGTCTCCGTCTCGTCTCCGTCTCGTCCTCGTCTCCGTCTCGTCTCCGTCTCGTCTCCGTCTCGTCCCCGTCTCGTCCTCGTCTCGTCTCCGTCTCGTCTCCGTCTCGTCCTCGTCTCGTTTCCGTCTCGTCTCCGTCTCCGTCTCGTCCTCGTCTCGTCTCCGTCTCGTCTCCGTCTCGTCTCCGTCTCGTCTCCGTCTCGTCCTCGTCTCGTTTCCGTCTCGTCTCCGTCTCCGTCTCGTCCTCGTCTCGTCTCCGTCTCGTCGTCTCCGTCTCGTCTCCGTCTCGTCCCCGTCTCGTCCTCGTCTCGTCTCCGTCTCGTCTCCGTCTCGTCTCCGTCTCGTCTCCGTCTCGTCTCCGTCTCGTCTCCGTCTCGTCTCCGTCTCGTCCTCGTCTCGTCTCCGTCTCGTCTCCGTCTCGTCTCCGTCTCGTCTCCGTCTCGTCTCCGTCTCGTCTCGTCTCGTCTCCGTCTCGTCTCCGTCTCGTCTCGTCTCGTCTCCGTCTCGTCTCCGTCTCGTCTCCGTCTCGTCCTCGTCTCGTCTCCGTCTCGTCTCCGTCTCGTCTCCGTCTCGTCTCCGTCTCGTCTCGTCTCGTCTCCGTCTCGTCTCCGTCTCGTCTCCGTCTCGTCTCCGTCTCGTCTCCGTCTCGTCTCCGTCTCGTCTCCGTCTCGTCCTCGTCTCGTCTCCGTCTCGTCTCCGTCTCGTCCCCGTCTCGTCCTCGTCTCGTCCTCGTCTCGTCCCCGTCTCGTCTCCGTCTCGTCCTCGTCTCGTCCTCGTCTCGTCTCCGTCTCGTCTCCGTCTCGTCCTCGTCTCGTCTCCGTCTCGTCTCCGTCTCGTCTCCGTCTCGTCTCCGTCTCGTCCTCGTCTCGTCTCCGTCTCGTCTCCGTCTCGTCCTCGTCTCGTCCCCGTCTCGTGGTTGTGCAGAACAAACAACACACAGACAATCAGGGTTTGATCCGTGTCGACTGGAGACGACATGAAAGTCTGGCCTCGGTCTGTTTACCGCGCGGCGCCGTGTGTTGCTGCGCCCTGATAACGGCGTTGGCTGCGTCTCCGCGGTCTCTGGGTGACTTTGCGTCGTGTTGTAGCCGCAGGTCGGAGCCGATGGAAACTCGCCGATAAACGAGTCGGTCGGATCGGGACGAGGCTCCCGGGGAGGACGTGGAAATCAGCAGCAAACATGAGAATCACAGATGCTAATTAGCAGCTGACGTTAGCGTTCAATGACAGCTAACGCTAACACTGCACAGAGCTTTGGGTCATGTTCAACCATTTGGTCTGGATTTAGTTGTGTTTTTTACCGTACGGTCCGGACGACTCACTGTTAGCGCTGTTCCATGACTCATCGTTAGCTTCCATGACTCATCGTTAGCTTC